AGGGTTGAGGTCTCATGTGCTTTATCCTTGGTGTCATTCTTATTCAGATCATGTTTAGACATCTATGCAAGTGGGACTACAGGCAATTAACTAATTCTGATAGTGATGGGAGGAATAGGCTTCCCCTGGCAAAGGAACTCCAATTTATTATCCAAATCCAAATGACCACTGAAAACACATACCAAGTTTATACTCCATAAATAAAGTACATACTCAGTATATATGTTGTACTATATGAGCTGAACAGGATATATATATATATATATATATATATATATATATATATATATATATATTGTGTGTGTGCAACAAAAATTAAAAAGTGGTCATGAACTATGAACTTAAAATAGTTAAGGTGGAGGCAAAATGGGAGTTCTTGGATGGAGGAAAGGGAAATGAAAAACTGTAATTATATTATAATAATAAAATAAAAATCATATTTTCAAAGTTATTCAGAAAAAGGGAAAACTATTTTAACAGCAAAAAAAAAATAAAGTGCTTCAGATTGTTGTATCACGAGAGAGAGGGAATGGCAGGGGAAAGGAGAGTGAAGGGGAGCAGAGGGAAGGAGAAGGGAGAGGAAGAGAGTAGAAGACAGTCCTCCATTGTGAAAATTCAAATGAAGATTAAGAACATAGATTTGTGAATGTTCTGTATGAGCTATTCCTCAACAACCATTTGGAGGGATGTTTCCAAGACAGGAAAACCAAGACTGTGGGGACTGTGATTAAGTGATCAGGGCTTTTTTAAGGAACTCTTGTCAGCAACATCAAAAAGATACTGGTGTTGGAGGAATGATGGTTGCTAGTGAATGAAGAACATGGAAGCTTAAGCATGTCTTCATGTTGAGGTTGGGAAGTGTGTTTCAGAGCTGGGGTCCCCAAAAGAAGACCATAATGTGGGATTGTGAAGCTATAACCTAAAATACAGTGAAGAGAAATGCTAGGACTTTAGGATAGATGGGATAAGTTGGCTAAAACTGGAGGGAGACAAAGAGAGAGAGAGTCAGAGAGATTGGGGGGAGAGACAGAGATACCTGAAAAAGAGAGAATGAGAGAGTGACTAACAGAATGGCAGACTGACAATGTGTGTCAGAGGCAGCGTAAACATGTGTCTGCACCCGAAAGTTTGACTACATCACTAGCAATACATGTAGCTATAGTTGGTTCCCTCTCAGATTAGGTCCTCTCTTGATTTGATGTTTTCTTGCTTGTTACATTTCCTTTTAGAATGGGAAGTTTACTGTGTGCTGTTGCATGTCAGATCTCTGTAACATGTTTTTTGGTTTTATAAGGCTCACAGTTGAAAGATCACTTTGATTTGCAGAAGAGACTTTAGATGTTGGATATTTCAAAGAAATTTTCAACTATTAAAGTCTATGTGTACTTTCAAAGTTGGATTGAATATATTTTGTATTGTGGGAAGGCCATGAGTCTATAGAGACAATAGTTTAAAGCTTAAAATGGATGTGTTTTGGAGTTGGTTGGTTATATAGTAAATATTTAGTTAAACTTGACAAGATTTAGGATTACTCAGGATACAAACCTTTGGGTTTGTCTTTGTGGGATTTGCTAGGATGGCTTAATGAAAGTTAGAGCACTCACCCTTAATAGGAATGGTGTCACTCCATGGTCTGAGATTCTGGCCTGAATACAAAGGTGTAGGCAAACCTGCTTTCTGCTTCCTACCTATATAGACATTGTGACAAGATATCTCATGCCTCTCCTACTATATCTTTCCCATCATAGTTGTACGCTCATACAGTTTCTCAAATAAACCTTTCTTTCATTACTGAAGTTGCTTTTATAAAATTCTCTATCATACCAATTAATGTGATTAGTTTAACTGTTAAGTATACATATGTATGTATAACATAATACATGCACACTATAATTCATACACTCATGGGGATATTTTAAAAGTGCTACAAGACTACATAGTTTGTGTTTATATGGTTTTCATGTAAATTTCATAGAGAAAATTAAGTAATTTAGAAACAAATTTTACATAATCAAATAACTTTTCCCCAATATCATTTTTGCACACCTTCAGTGGAAATTTTATTATCTTTGTAATTTAATTTCAAATAATAATCTTAATGCCATAATATAAAAATAAATTTAAAATACTTCTGAGAAAACTCAAAAATCAATAATTTACACTAGAATTAAGCTAAACTTATATTTTCATCAGGGGAATTTGCCCTATCTGGAGCTGCTGACATAACATTAGGTTGTACTGTATACTTTCATCCTGTTTCTGAATTTTTACATTTACATGTATTTTCAAAACATTATTTAAAATAGTTTAGACAATGTAGGTTAAAGAATATACAAAATTAATGTTTATATATAGCTGTATTCTAGAGGAGTTTCTTAAATTGGCAAAATAAAGTATTTGCCCCAATTATTGAATACCAAGGTTCATTTTCAGTCATTAATTAAATTCCAAGATTAGAAGCATATTTCATTTTTGATCAATGTGTGTAAAAGACTGATTTAGAAATCTTCAGATTATAAATTTGTCTTTAAATAAATAAATGGATAAATAAATAAACCAGGGAAAACATAATATAAAACACTGAGCGTTACTCTGGCTGCTGGCACAGGTTAGCTTCTGAGTCATTATTGGCAGGCAAACAGGAAGGATAGGAGGGAAATACAAGTAGTCCTGTTTTTTTTTTTTTTTCAGAAGAGGATTGCATTTAAATTCTGTTATGAGAATTCCTTCTGTAAACTGTTTCATAGCGTTCGCTGAATATAAGTCCTGTTTTATTATTGAGCTCCTTTGTTAGATCAGAGAAATTACTTAAACTTTCTGATGTTTATGATTTTCCTTTATTTAAATAAATGCAATAATCATTCATTAGGATATTATGGGAATTGAGAGTTATTGCATTTATTTAAATGTCTAGCCAGGAGCTGGGCGAGTCAGATATTTACTATTTAATTTTCTAAATTATGCCTAAATCACTTTGCTTTTCATTACCAATTGGAGTTAAAAGTTTACACTGTGCATTTTCAGAATACAGAGTAGCAACCATTCCCAAATAACTACTATCACTTTCAGCTCACTTATTTTAATAGTGTGAAAATATAAACTTCCCGGCCCATCTCAGGTATGAATATAAAACTCAGCTTTTTACAATATTCAACACAATATCTAACATTGATAGCACAAAAGAAAGGAGAAAATTCAATTCCAGCCATATCACTTCTAGGCCCAAGAACATGAAGGCAGAAGGTAAAGGAATGAATCAAGCTGCTCACTTCCTATGGTCCACAGACTCACTCAGGGAAGGAGCTGGGGACAAGATATACCTTTCAGGATTGGAGCAACCTACTCTCTCCAGAAAGCACCAACTCCTAACAATCATTTAGCATCCACTGCTGAGAATCTGGAACCCTCGGAACCCAATCACTTGACAACAGTTCCACCAGTTAGGGCCACAAATGTTCATTTTGTGAATCTTTCCAGGAACACTTCATGTCCCTAATTTAACTTTGTCTGAGAAGCTGATCTACATGTATATAATAAAAATAAAAATACGTCCTAATCTTGGATTTCAGTTTCTAATTTTGTTTTTGCATTTATAATATGTTGATCTTTAAGAACATAATAAATCAGTTCAAACCATTGAACAAGGTGAATATTATCACCACATAGTTCATTTGATATCTCTGAGTTTACTAACCAGTAACAGGGGAAAGTAATCCAATCCTGCTAAACCATAACCAGCATTAGAGCACAACTCTAAGTTATTCTGCAAAGAGCAGTGAAAGTTTAAAGGCATTGTTACATGCTCTGTATAATGAGAACTATACTAGAGAATGGTGGAAACTCTCATTTAAGTTTGTGTTTTTATTGCTTTCTTGTCTCATACTAATTTTATCTGGACCTACATGAAGTACTTAATCAGGAGTGAAGGTAGACTGTGTTATAGCATTTGCCATGCCATTCACCTGAAAATCCTGAACTTCAATGAGTTTCTGATGATTTCACATACAGTCAGAGCCTTACTAACAATTCAGGGAATTGTTTGAAGGTTTGTGAATGGCATCTTGTCAATATTCCTGCTTTGTACATATACTGGGAGTCATTGATAAAGGTTGAGTACCCCAAATTTGAAACTCTAAATTCTGAAATAGTTCAGTGCTTACAAGATTATGAGCATGACTTTCATGCCATAAATAGTTAACATCTGGTGGCAGACTCAGGTCACAGCATGGGAGCATTGAAAAGGCTGTATAAAATCTTATTTTGGATATAATATGTAAATGTATATATTAGTATATATTATATATATAGTATATATATAGTATATATTCATAGTTGTATATATTTATATGTTCTATAACTATGTGATATATATTATTATGAACAGTAAATAAATTGTTTTTATCTTTGGTAGCTAGCCAAGAAACTCTCATCATGTTTTCATGGGTGTAAAAGTATCAAAACTATCTAAAACACAAAATGCTTTTCATCCTAAACTCTTTGGATAATGCACATTTATCCTATATAATCTACAACTTTATGAGTAGATCATAGCCATGATTGATAAATAACATGCACTTAGCCACAGGTAGGCTGTGGACGGGCAGGTAGTAGTACATCGATAGTGTATGATTATAAGCTCTTTTGTGAAATATTATAGGGTAATCTGTCAGTTGTATTAGTAATAATTTATTTTGTTGCATTATCATAAGCATATTAGATATCAGAAATGGACATATAGTGTGGGAAATTACGACATTACTAGTGTAAACATTGTTTGTACGTTTAATTGCTCTCTAAATATCCAAGGGTAACATGGAACATGTGCAGAAGGTCATGTGGACTTAGCACTTGAGCTCATTTTTCTCTTGGAGTGCTTCTCAGTCAGTAACTGAATTAAAGTCCCTGAGATGTGATATGCTATGCATTGACCTAATAGTTAGGATATCGTAATGATGTCTTAATGTAAACAAACCACACAAACTCAGGTTCTTTCATTACAGATAAAAAGACTTGTGGACCTCATGAATTCCAGTGTAAGAACAACAACTGCATTCCAGATCACTGGAGGTGTGATAGCCAGAATGACTGCAGCGATAATTCTGATGAAGAAAACTGCAGTAAGTGGAGAGCCTAATGACCTTGCAAGCCTGACAGCCCATTCAATAAGCAGGATGGCAATTTTTATTTCAGTTAAGGCAAAATTTGGACTCCCCTGTCCTGAAGCTCAAATTTCTGTACATATATTCACATTTCAGAATAAATTGACCTGACTCTTAAAGGGTAAAATGATGGGAATGCTTACCCTGGGAGTTATTTTCTTTCTGCTCCCAGAATTGGTAGAAGAGTATCATGAGGTTTAATACAGCACATTAGTATGCTATGAAGAAAGCCCTTGATGCAAGTTCATACAATGAGCTGACTGATGTGCAGACAGCAAAGCACATATCATTTTTAACGGATGCTATTCATTCCATTTCTGCCTCAATCTTTTTACAATACAAATTCACCCATGAGCATCTTTCAGTGACTTATCATTTATTCTTGCTGGAGTGGTGAACACCATCTGAATTTAGGATGCTTTCCTCAGAAAATAGAACAACACTGATGGCACCTGCCTGCTGTACTTTTATGCAATAAATTTAGTACCAATAATTATCCAATCTTTATATTTTCTTACTGAGGAAGAGTGTCTGTGCGTAAGCATTGACCTCTCAGCAAAATTCTTATCAGTACTTCTATGTATAACTAAAAAGTGATTTTGCCATGATTAAAATGAGAAAATAACAAAATTTGTTAAGTATCTATATTTTGTACTTTTCTAAAAGTGTTTGATGCAGATGCCTAGCTATATGATCTTTATCTCATTGGAATAACAGCAGGAGGCAATGCTATATATAATCTGCATAGCAATACATTGCAGGAAGGTGTATAGTTGGTGGAGGAAACCTTACTTGGACATTCAGCCTGAACTAATGCAGCAACATGCACTAATGACTCACATAAATTTAGGGACATTGGAAACTGTTCCTGACAATCAAATGATTTGGAATATCTGGATGTGGTAGCACCGGAGGCTCCCACTTTTATTTACATAATCCTACTGGATCATTGTTTACAAATGTAGATAATATTTCATAGACTTATTAGAGTTTGAGGCTTATTTAATCAGCAATTAAAACTACCTTTATACAGCAGGTTCTCAGATACATTTAGTGACTAAACTAAAAATTAGATGGACTTATGATGATACTAATTGATGGGGAACGTTCTTCTGTGTATTAATTTCTCTTATTGTTTAATGAATAAATAACTGACTGGTTGATTAGCCAGATAGGAAGTGATGTAGCTGGGCAGAATCAGGGTATAAGCAGAGACAAACAGGAAATCGCTGTCTTCTCTGCGGAGATGCTGAGCTGTCATCATGTAGCAGGCCAACGAGTTGCAGGTCTGGCATTCCCTGGTGACATAAGACCATGTGAACATACAAAGGTTAGTAGTTATGGGTTAATAATTAAGATAGAGCTAGTCAAATAAGAAGTTCTAGTCATTGGCTGACAGCTTTATAACTAATATAGCATCAGTATCCCTTTTTGGGATTCCTGGAGCCTGGGACCAGGCTGGTGGGAAAGAATGCTCATAACAACTAATAGGAGAAAAATCCAATTTAAAATACAAGAGTGTACATACTTGATGCATCAGGTATTTCTCAGATTTGTCTGGTGTGCTTAGTCTTAATTATATAGAATCCTTGAGCAAACACTCCATTTTGAAGGATGCTGAGGACAACAGTATAGTTGAGAAGAAACCTTGGAGATTTGACTCAGTGAAATTTCTCCCTTCCTTCCTCTACTCCTTTTCATTTCCTTGTTTCTTGTTTGTATGTTCAGATTCATCCATGGAAATTGTGAATCCTAGACCAATTATCTACCACATTTTTCATTTATTTTGAGATCGAGTTTTGTTAATTGACCAAACTGCCCTTAAAGTCACTGTGTTGCCCAAGCAGTGCTTGGATATGTGATCATCCTGATATACCATCCACAGTAATTAAAATCTTGTACCACAAGGCCCACCTGAAGTAGATCTTTGTTAAAATTGTGCAAGAAATTGGATATTGCTCTATTAAGAAAAGGAAAAGAAGAATGTTGACTGAGATAGCTTGCCTCCTATCAACTGTGGTTCCCATAATGTCTGAATGTTGTTGATCAGAAATGTAGAAGTTAGTCTGTGTCAAAGGAAGGGGATGGGATTCTGACTTCACTAGACACTAAAAATAAAAACATATCTATTAAAATGACTAAAGGAAAAAAAAGAAACTGTAAAAAATTAAACAATGCATTTAATAGCGTTTCTGCTTTTGTTGTAGTTTACTTTGGTTACTGAAGGTTTTGTTTGTTTTTGTTTTTGGAAAGATTTTGCTATGCAGACAAGCTGACATGAAATTTGCGATACATTCTATGTTGGGCTAAAATTTGAGATACAGGTGTACATTTTTAAGCCCAGCAATTTATTTGTTCTCATTCTTCTGAATCAGATTTTCTTTTACTGTAAACTAAATGTCATATATTAAGACAATTCTAAACCATATCAAAGTACTCTCTGATAAACATGACAGTCCCACAGTTCATCAATGTTCCCATTTACAAAAATGTAGGAGTCAGGACACCAGCCAAGATCTACTAATACCCAGAGATTGAATAGCTCAAGAGAGCAATATTAAATATAAAGTTGCATTGTTGAACAGCACAAGTACAGTTATTTCTAGTAGGAGGCTGAGTCATTATGGAGAGCATAAGTCTCCATGTATGTGTTACTCAGGCTAGATATCTATTAGTTATTCCTTTTTCACATAGATAAGAATATTGCTTGGGGGCACAGCTGCAAAGACAATGAGTAGAAACATGCTTAAAGTATTTTTATTTATATAATACCAAAAAGTGGATTTATATAATCAAACAATAAGTTAAAATGAATGAAAAAACATTTTTAAAAGACAATTAATGATTTTGAGGAAACATAGGCTGATTTTTTTTCCCCATCCAAGACTTTAATCTGAAGAAAGGAGATCATACTGATCATTTCCAGGGACCAAGTTCTGAAATCAAACCTCAACATTGTGACAAAAAACATTCCGCCTAAGGCTAAAGTCAGGCAGTTAAGGCATGCTCCTTGATTTTTGTCCTATCATAAACATGGCCAATTAAAATTAAATTAATAGTGATCAAATTTTCAAAATGGACAGATAAATTATACAGATAACAGTAACACAAATACATAGGCTGTGGTTTTCTTCTTTTTCTTTTCTTTTTTTTTTTTTTAAGAAAGTCTACCCACCCACTCCTAGTGTTATCTTTAAGAACCCTGGATTCTCCTGTAACAAAATCAGATTCATGAAATCGATAACATATATAATTAAAAGTCACTATCAATGTCTAGTTTGACTTACATTGTTGTGAATATACTCATGAATACAGAAAGCCATAAAATGTTTATTAAATATATTAAATGTCTTAGTAATCTAAATGGAAAATATCATATCACAATAATCTCAAATATAAATTTTCTTATGATTTTCAAACTTTTCTGTTTCTATTATTGACTTTAAAATTAGATTTTAATAATAGTATATTGTGTCCCTTAGATTCTTCATGAGATGTTCCCCCTAAATGATCTCATTACTTCTGTTTGACTAACCTCTTTTGTTTTTCTGTTACCTCCTCATGTTGATCAGAATGTAGCTGAGAAAATACTCTTACCCTATGCTTTCTTTAATGCCTCCAGAGCCACAGACCTGTACACTGAAAGATTTTCTCTGCAGCAATGGGGACTGTGTTTCATCAAGGTTCTGGTGTGATGGAGAGTTTGACTGTGCTGATGGCTCTGATGAGGTAGGGATCTATGTGAACAGACACAAAATTGTAAATCAGGTCTCCTACAAGGTTATGCTCATTTAGTATGGTAAGTGTGACCAAGGACAGCTCTGCAGTGCACCCTGATCTGCATGCCTTGACGTAAAGATTTAATTTATGAGTTATGTTGCACAGACCTCACAGAATAACTGTGCTACTACTAACAAATGATTCTATAATGTGATTTCTCTCCACTGTTGAATCTCTGATCAAGGAATATGATGCATGGAAATACTCAGCCCTGAAGCTGGTGTCCTTGCCATTTGTAGATTTCTTTATAAACTTTCTGGAGTATTTACAGCTCTTGCTAATATTTTATGCATTTAAAAGTATTTCTTTCTTCAGTGGCTACAGTCTTATAAACTTTAGTGTGGCCATCAATTTTCATAAAATCGTGTGCTGAGATTTCCTTAGATGATGGATCACAATCCATTTATTAGATGATGGATCACAATCCATTTATTAGAAGGCCTATGCTTTGGGTGAAAATAGAATATAATTTCTTTGGACAACTCTTCAAACTTGAAGTGCACTGAGTCTTCCTTGCTATGTATTATGTGACTCCACAAATCTTTAGAAATAATCATACAGAAAAGATACCAAATTTTGGCCTATACCACCTGGGACAAGAGCAAGAAAGATCACTGTAAAGGATTCTTTTAGTTTCTTAATTGTGCAGAAGGAAAACAGAGAATTGTAAATAAGCCCAAGGGGAAAAGAGGTTTTCAGTTCCTTATGGAAGTCTTTGCTCTTTCACTGACATAGTAGTGCTACAGATAGGTGTTGCCTCATCAGCAAACACATGCATTTGCAACTCATAAAAAACATGACATCAAATTTAGACTGTAGAAGACCCTCCCTCCATCTTTAGAAGTTTGTGTTTCATGTCTAACTTCTGTAAGTTTCCACTGATTCACTTTCTGAAAGAGAAGCACAGCATGTCTCTACTGTTTGTACAACAAGTAGGGCTTTTCAATTCTACCACCATTCTTAAAAGATCAGATAGTTCCTTTTCCTTGCCATTTTGGTAAATCCATTCTAATTATAGTTAGGAATGCAGTATCTAGCCAAGATCATTTCTAAACTCTTACCTCGAGACCTACAAATCTGAACCATTGATTTGAAAATATAATCACAAGAAAAAAATGTCTTAACCATTCCAAAATCAGGGGAATATATCTCATGTAAACTTACCTATGCATGGTGATATTTGGATTTTTATTTTGCTTTGGCCACTTTAAGCATATTCCTTGAGCATTGTGATTTCTTTTTATATGTTATTATAAGATGTTTAAAATACATGAGAATCTAAATCTAATTTTATTGTAAATCTTTCCAAAATAATATTCATTTTCAAGTAAATGAACTTACTATCAGAATTCATCTCATTCACTAAGTTCCTGAGTTTCATACATTCCTGCCTGAATTTATTTACATTTACTAAGTGTTATCATGGCAATGCTCTAAGTAAATTTTTCTTTATTATGGTCTTCACTTACAGACAGTGCAGTCTACAGTAAATTCTTTTTTTTTTTTATGAAGTCTAAAATAACATTTTGTTTTATGAAAGACAGTGAAGCAAATGATCAAAATGCGGTCTTAGCACAATTCTAGAAAGACAAACTGCATAAAGATTATATTGCTAGTAAGAAGAGAAGTTGGTAGAATTGTAATTTTATGTATTCATACATACGCAGTGTTGTGTGCTCTTAAGAATATCTTCTCAAATCAATATGAAATAGTTTAAAGGTTGGATTCAATTAATTTAAAGTCAATTGTATATATATGTTGCCTACATCAAGAATTGTCTTTTAAAATATTTATATACATTTTATTTAGTGCATGTGAGTGGATGGTAAACGCATGCTCCATTATTAATGTGGTCAGAGAACAACTTGGGAGAGTTTATTCTCTGCTTCCCCCATGAGGGTTCTGGATATTGAACTCAGTTGACTGGCAGTAAATTCAGCAACAAAAAATAAATTTAAAGATCACGTTATGAGCTACAGTTTAATACTTATTTTTTTCTAAGCTATCTAAATCTAAAAACAGTAAAAAACCAAGAGAAACCCAGTAGTAATGGCTCACCCAAGTTTTCACAGTGATTTATAAAGATCATGTCCCACATATAATAATAGAAACATGGTTTCTGTGGGAAGATGGAACTCTAGTTCTGAGAAAAGAGTTTCACAACATAGAATGTTAACCACATATTAGAATGTAAGCACAGGGCATTAAATGGCCAGTGAGCACAGGGAATAGAGACAAGCTTGAAAGGGACTTGACTATAAAGGTGAACACATACAGTATCTAAAGTGTAAAATGCTATAATACACAGAAACCCAATAAGCATAAAATTCATGACTTCGTAATAGTACTTAAACATAAGACCTCAAAAGTCACTTTGGGTTTGAGAAAAATATTAATATTCTGAAGAAAATATAAGTTGGGGTTAGAGAGGCACCTCAGTGGTTAAGAGCACTTTGCTTACAACTGTTCATAGCTACAGTTTCAAAGGAGGTTATCTTTCCTTTGATCTTCCTAGAAACACATAATCAAGATGTGTATACATACATGTAGGTAAAACATTCATACACATAAAATTAAAACAAATAAATCTTGATAAAAAGGCCACAAGGAGTTGGTAGAGGAGATGGATACTTTCAAAATATATTCATAATATTATGAAAGAATAAATATTATAGAAAAGATAATGTAACTTAATTAAGAAAGTAAGGATATTTTTTAAAGAACAAATAAAATTTCAAAGCTGTAAGTAATGTTTCCAAATAACTGAGAATGGGCAAAAAAAAAAAAAAAAAAAAAAAGGTTATATAGGTGTAGTCTTACCTAAATTCTATATATATATACCTACTTTGAAATCTCAGTTTGCCAAACAATATATTTAATTAAATAAAAATATTTTTATGGCTTAAACCTAACGATAGATTATTATTTTTATGATAGTATAAAATTTCCAATACTATTATCATTTTAAATATTCTGAAGTATAAATACATGTGGGAGGATGAAAGAAATGTGAATTGTGAAGTATAAATTATTTAAATACTTAGTTCATGAGTATAAAAATCTTTATACACATAGGTCTGAATTGTAAGTCACAACCAAGAAATAATACACACAGAAAAGGCTATAAGCCTACATATCTTATCAACATAGATGCAAAAATCCTTACCATAATACAACCTAAATGCAACAGCCTGTTAAAAATTATTCACCATGATCAAGTGTGATTAATTCTAGGGAAGCAAGGATTACTCAATATATGCAAATCAGTAAAATAATACACTGAGGCAACAAAATGATAAAATTGTGATGACTTTTGTAAAGACAGGAAAGGATTAATATTAAAAATCTTTCATTTTAAGCACTAAGGGTATTAAGTGCACAACATACATAAACCAACAAGCAAGTCCACAATGATGAAATAAGAGCCCCTTTATGTACAGGAAAAAACCTGATCTCTTGTTAGAAGAGGAGGCCCACTTTCACTCAACATATTCTGGAAATCTTGATAATTTGGAGATGAGTGGGGTCTTTCAGTGCTGGTAGTCTTCGCTAATCTGCTACTTACTATGTAGTCTACAGTAGCTTGAATTAATTAAAATCCTCCTGCTGCAGCTTTGACTTCTTTTTTCCACATATTGTGCAGAACTTTTGTCCCCAGTATGCAGCACAACTGCCCTTTTATGACTTGCATTTCAAGCTATCCTGACACATTTAAACTGTCCCAAGGTAGATCCAGTTCTGGTAAAACTGCCTCTCAAAAGCTTTATCTAAAAGATACATGTTTGTTATTCTTAACAATCAATGCATTTTTTTGTTATTGTAGTTTTGAAAATGGTATTTTATATTAGTCTTTGAGCTCATAATATAAGAAAAAAAACCCTTTTTTCATTATCACTTATAAAAGTCTCAGACAAGTAATAATACTTTAATATTTGGGAAAATATTGGAAGAAAAATGTCAATTTTATGGAAAACTCTAATAAATGCCTGCCAGCAAATATAAAATTAAAAAAAAAAAAAAAAAGGAAATGCAGTCTCCTTTCTTACATGAGGTTTAACCTTGAAAGAAGAACAATGGTCTACCTTCTATACCCGAGGAATGTCTATAGCTATGCAATCATAAGCAATTGTAGGAGAGGAAAAAATATATATTTGGAAAACTGGAAATTTTTGTAATGAGAAAAACATCAGTCCTCAAAGATATTTGGGCAGTACAGCTCATTTAAACCAATGTTTAGATCAAAATGGGTAAATGTCACTCTCCATTATCTCCCACAAAGAAATGAGAGAACCTAAAGTGTATATGATATTCTGTTTGACTTCTAATGAAATCTGTACATGAGCAAGCAGAAGTAGCCATAACGACAGATCATTATACAATCATTTTGAAGCAAATGTCATAATAGAAAAGCTGACTCACAAACAGCTAAATGGTAAGATCAGTGCAGAGGAAAAGAGATTAGTAGCAAGAGAACACTAGGAGAGAGATAGATGACAGTGTGAAATTGGCTTTCCTTAGGCTTCCCGTTTGTTTCATGTCCTGCCCTCCCTCAATATTCAAACATAGCTAAAGTACAAGTAAAAGAACTTAAAACAGGGCTTGAGAAATGGCTCAGTGGTTAAGAGCATTGCCTGCTCTTCCAAAGGTCCTGAGATCAATTCCCAGCAACTACATGGTAGCCTACAACCATCTTTAATGAGATCTGGTGCCCTTCTCTGGCTTGCAGGTATGCATGCAGGCAAAACACTGTACACACAATAAATAAATAAATCTTTAAAAATAACTTAAAACATCCTTTATGGATATTATAAAGAGACTTAAAGAGTAAAAATTAATAAACATTGAAAGAAAATGAACCAAATTGCACAAGACATGAAAGAATAAATAGTATCAATAAAGAAAATCCAAAATGAGGGAAATCTGGAAAAACAAGATATTTTAAAATTGAATTATCTCTGTTTTATACTTGGCAGAAAAATTGTGACACAAGTTGTTCCAAAGATCAGTTTCAGTGTTCCAATGGTCAATGCCTTTCAGCAAAATGGAAGTGTGATGGGCATGAAGATTGTAAATATGGAGAAGATGAGAAAAACTGTGAACCAGGTAACATGAGAGTAGAATAACTGAGTGGTTGTTTATAACTTGATTGAATTTAATCCAAGGTGTTTTGTCCAGTGAACTGTGACCCAGACACATATTGTCTTTGCTTTTAGAGACCAATTGTGGTATCTGTGAATAAGTTCCTTGTGTTCTCTTCGTATTTTTCAAAATCATTTTGGCACATAAAATCACTACTTAAGTATGGGATGGGAGTATCAGCCTTGGAGTTGGTTGGCCTTATTACAAAATGAATTTTTTTAACTGTACAATTAAGTGTTTAGTGGTAGAAGGTGAATTTCTGAAACAGATGGTAGCAGTTGGAAAGGCCAGCTAAGAAGTTCATGAAATTTTTTTTTTTTGTACTTCTGTCTCATACCAAGAAAAATGGAAATTAGAAAGTCATAGAGGGTATAGAAAATCATTTAGTTCATACATTTCTATTTCTTAAACATGGTTGTAAAATATGCTCATTAAACATGGAATGTTTATTAAGATGTTTCAATTCAATGTTTTATAGAAAACCAATTCAAAAGACCATACTGTCATCTATGTATAAACACAAATGCATAGTTTTGGGAGACAAGGCGCTAGGAATGGTTTACTCACTGCCATGAACTCTGATCAAACTATGATCCATATTTCTCATGGTTCTGCCTCCATATGTACTCTCAGTCATTATACTTACTGTATTCTCTTGGAAAATCTGTTGTTGTATAAAAGCATTGAAGGGAAGCCTCTATACATTTGCTAATCAATCAGACATCAGAGAGATTGTACAGAAATTTAGGACATATCATTATCAAATATAAGGTCAAACATCTGAAGTCTCAATAAAAGACCTAAACTCCAAATCCAAAGGCAAAATGAAGCTATTACAATTATATCATAATTATGATAATGGCAGTAATTTATTCATTTAATAACTTTGCTTAAGAAATAAATACTGCTAGACAGTGTTCATGAGACAGAGGCAGGAAGATCACTGAACTCAAGACCAGCCTGGAACACAGCTAAGTTCCAACATAGCCAGGTCTGCTCAGAGAAACTCTGTCTCAAGAAACAAGAAATAAATAAATAATAATGAAAGAAGGAAAAGAGAAAAGAATATTATCGACTCTACAGGTTTTTGTTAACTACAAAGTTGCTATCTTTAAATCAGAAGACAAAATTAACCAGTGGGTATCATTGTGCACTGTGTTAAAAAAAAAAAAAAAAAAAAAAAAAAAAAACTGTACCGTATATCTATATGAACTTTCTCAAGGCTATTTAATGATTTTTCACATTTTAAATTAGACATTTTCAAACAATTCACAATTCTGAGAAAATCACTTAATTCTTTGTGAATAGTGAGATAAGATATCAATGATTTTTCCAACTTTTTAGTCTTTTGCATTAAATCCTTACTTTACAACCACTTATGTCTTTGAAATGTTTTGCCTATAACAAATAGTGTACAGCTTAATTTAAATGATCCTTAGTGCTAGGAGTTGAACATTTTTAATATTATAATCTAATATTAATCTATCCATGAATTCATGTTTGTATGTTTGATAAATTTTACTTTCTAAATCAGTTATTCTTTTTATGCTGTATCTAAACTTCAGCTTTATAATTGTTTAGCCTTTCCTGCTTGCTCATCAAGTGAATATATGTGTGCCAGTGGAGGATGTCTGTCAGCATCTTTGAAATGTAATGGAGAACCTGACTGTGTTGATGGTTCAGATGAGGTAAAACTGTTATTTGATTAAAGTTCTGAATTATGTGACCCAGGGTTAATAAAGCAAATGCAATAATAATAAGGAGAATTATGATTGTGAGAACTGTCCCAAATTTTATGCAGCTCTATGTTATACAGAAATATAATTTCTACAGAAAACAGAAGGCTCTTCATTCTTTCTGTCTTCTAAAGCACACTGCTACTTGTTGTGGCAATCTCACTCTATTACAAGCATCTACTATTATGAATTTCATGATTACATGCCTGTGATTCCATCAACATTAATACAGACTGTTGTTTTCCTATTGTGTTTGAGCAGATGGACTGTGTAATAGAATGTAAGGAAGATCAGTTTCGATGCAAAAATAAAGCATACTGTATTCCAATTCGATGGCTATGTGATGGAATTCATGACTGTGTTGATGGAAGTGATGAAGAGCACTGTGGCAGAGGTAAGACAATGGCAGTGATGATGGTGTGTGTGTGTGTGTGTGTGTGTGTGTGTGTGTGTGTGTTTGTGCTTGTGTGCATTCTTAAATTGGAAAATGGAAGTAAAGTTACTGGATAGTAGCTATACAATATTGAAGGAATAATAATATAGTTACAAGAATAAATACTTTAGTCACCATAATAATTCATATGAAATTACTTTTATTCCTTAAGGAGAGAAAAAGTGTTTACAGTTTTAGGATTTAATTTGATATGAGAAAATAAATTTGGTATTGATAAATGTTTCTCAAAATTTTAAGGAAATAGAAGAAATAAGCCTTTCTTATACTGTAATTGGTGGTGCTGTCACCTCGAATTAGGACACTTCTACTAACAAATGGTATCCTAGAAGTCATAGAAGCTCTCTGTGTGTATGTGTGTCTGTGTTCCTGTGTATGTCTGCGTGTGTTTGTGTGTGTGTGTGTGTGTGTGTGTGTGTGTGTGTGTATGCATGTACGTTTCTGAGTGTATGTCTGCGTCTGAGAGATGGAACGGAGTGTTATGTACAAGAGGATACGAGTAAAGTATCCTAATTATGATCCTCAGAGTAGACAAATAAGGCCCAGGTGCATATGCCTGTAATATTAGCATTGGGGTAACTGAAATAAGCAACCAAGAAGCTTCTGTGTCAAGTGTTAGCTGTGCACAATAGAGAAAGATGTCAAACTCACTTCTGGATCTAATTTGACATGCACGACTGAACATAAGCACTTCCTTACACACACACACACACACACACACACACACACACACACACACGGTTAAGGTTGACAAGTTTTCCAAAGACTCAAAATTGGTTACTTTACGAGAATAATACCCCCAAAGCTAAGGGAATTAACAGATGCATTTTATATTTTAAAAAGAGACTCTAAAACTGTTACTATTTGCAGATAATAAAATAGTTTACATAAGCATACCAAAAATCTTTACTAGGGAACTGCTCCAGCTGATAAACGCTTTAAGCAAACTAGCAGAATACAAGATAAACTCAAAAACAAAACAAACAAACAAAAAAAAAAAACAATCAGTAGCCTTACTATATACAGACAACAAATTGGCTGAGAAAGAAATCAGAGAAATATCACCATTTACAATAGCCACAAACAAAAAAAAGCATCTTGGGGTAATGCTTACCAAACAAGTGACAGACCTATAAAGCAAGAACTTTGTGTCTTTAAAGAAAGAAATTAAAGAAGATACAGAAAATGGAAAGATCTCCTATGGTCTTGGATAGGTAGGATCAACATAGAAAAATGGCACTTTTTTACCAAAAGCAATCTACAGATACAATGCAATCCCCATCAAAATCCCAGCACAATTCTTCACTGAACTTGAAAGAATAATAATCAACTTTATATGGGAAAACAAAAGACCCAGGATAGCCAAAACAACCATGTACAATAAAGGAACTTTAGGAGGCATCACCATCCCAGACTTAAAGCTCTACTATAGAGCTATAGTCATGAAAACAGCCTGGTATTGGCATAAAAATAGACAGGTAGACCAATGGAATTGTATCAAAAATCTTGATATTATCCCACACATCAACAAACACCTAATTTTTGACAAAATAGCTAAAACTATACAATGGGGGCAGGAAAATATCTTCAATAAATGGTGCTGGCACAACTGGATGATGATGTGTAGAAGACTGCAGTAGGCCCATGTCTATCTCAATGCATAAAATCAAGTACAAATGAATTAAAAACCTCCACATAAATTCAGCTACACAAAACCTCATAGAAGAGAAAGAGGAAGGTACCCTTGAACAAAATGGTGCAGGAGACCCCTTCCTGAACCTAACTCTAGTAGCACAGACACTGAGATAAAAAATTACTAAATGGGACCTCCACAAACTGAGAAGCTTCTGTAAGGCAAAGGACACATTTAACAAGAACAAACGGTACCCACAGACTGGAAAAATATCTTCACCAACCCTACATCTGACAGAGGGCTGATCTCCAAAAATACAAACTGAAGAAACTAGTCAACAAAACACCAAGTAACACTATGGGGTACAGAACTGAAGAGAGAATTCTCAATAGAGGAAATCAAATAGGCTGAAAAACACTTAAAAAGGGGCTCAAATCCTTATCTATCAGGGAAATGCAAATCAAGAAAATCTATGAGATACCATCTTACTCCTGACAGAATGGCTAAAATTAGGAACATCAATGACAACTTATGCTGGAGAGGATGTGGACAAGGGGGAATACTCCTACACTCTGGTGGAAGTGCAAACTTGTATAACCTCATTGGAGATCAGTATTGTGATTCCTCAGGAAAATGGGAATCAGTCTACCACAGGACCTGCAAATCCCACTCTTAGGTACATATTCAAATGATCCATATCTATGCAACAAGCACATCTGTTCAACTATGTTCGTAGTAGCACTATTTGTAATAGCAAGAACCTGGAAGCAACCTAGATGCCCCTCAATTAAAGAATGGTTAATGAAGATGGGGCACATCTACACAATGGAATACTACTCTGCAGAAAAAAATAATCGTATCTTGATATTCATAGGCAAGTGGATGGCACTTGAAGAAACCACCATGAATGAGGTAACCCAGCACAAAAAGAGGAACATAGTATGTACTCACTCATATATGGATTTTAGACTTAGAGCAAATGATCACCAGCCTATAATTCACATCACCATATGAACTAGGATACAAGGTGTATTTTAAGAGATTCATATAAAGTCACTCACAGAAGTGGGAATGGACAAGTTCCCCAGAGCACAGGGGAAGTGGGGGGACTATATGAATGGAAAGAGAAGTAGGAGAAAGAGAGGGGGAGGAGAGGAAAACATGTGCGACTAGGAAGATTGATGATTGATTCCAGGCAGGAATAGATGACAGGAGAGAGAGAGAGAGAGAGAGAGAGAGAGAGAGAGAGAGAGAGAGAGAGAGAGAGAGAGAGAGAAAGAGAGAGAGAGAGAGAATATAAAAGAGGGAGCCAATATTGGTTTGAATAGAAAATTGAACCCAAAGAAAGTTCTAGAGACCTACAAGACTGCCGCCAACTAACAATTTGAGATTCCGTGGAAAGCCTACCATAAATGCCCTTCCGGATAGTGAGATCAACAACTAACTTATCCTCATCTAATACCTGTTGGAAACAGAAGGAAACACTTATACATAAACACTGAGTCAAACTAGAACCCAGATGCAGATGGAGATGACAAGAACAGGCTGCAGAAACATATAGAGACAGCTGACCTGAACAAGGAGGAGCTAAGGGGCCCCAGACTGATAGCTGAGAATCCAGCATGGGAGTGACTGAGGCCCTTCCCCCCCCCCCCCGAATATGGGTCTCAGCCAGAAGGACTGAGCAATTTAAGGGACCTCAGATAGTGGAACCAGGATATATTTCTATTCTTAATAGACTTCTAGGCCCAGCACTCCTCTGGGCATATATAAATAAAATGATATCTTACTCAATAGTTTAGAGAGAGCACTTTTCCTTTTAATAACACTGATATGCTACAAATAGAAAAAAATTAAGTTTAAGGATGTTAAGAGTTCATAACCACGTCTAAATTTAATTTGTTGAAAAGTACAGTATGTGATAAGTTTAATAATTTAAACCATTTTGTCAAAAAAATTGACTCTATTGCATAATCTATTGAATTTTTTGTTTTTGTTTTTGTTAATTAATACACTGTGTATTCAAACCTTGTGATATCTCTCCCTTCCTCTCTTCTTCTGTCCTTGCTTTCTTGCTTCTCTTCTTCTACATTTTCTTCTTTTCACAATGCAGTTTACCTAGGAATCCATGTTACCTAGCTTGGGTCCAGAATCAAGCACTATTTCTTCAATTGTTTAACTGTTGGAATTAAGGCATATACCACTACATTAAGAAAGTATTTAGGTTAACCTTTTCTTGTTTTATATGGCAATCACAGTTCCCACACCCTCCTGTCCTTCCCTGTACCTGCCACCAACCCCCATCACATCCCCTTGCTGCTCCACAGGGAGGGTAATCCTTCCATGGGAAGTCTTGAAAGTCTGTCATATAATTTGGAGCAGGGCCTAGGCACTCCCCCCATGTGTCTAGGCTGAGGGAGTATCACTTTATGTGGAATGGGCTCCCAAAGTCCATTCCTATACTTGGGAATATTACTGATCCAATACCAGATGCCCCACAAAATGCCCAGTCCTCCCAACTAACACCACATTCAGGGAATCTGGGTCAGTTCTATTATGTTTTCTCAGCTATCAGACTGGAGTCCATAAGCTTCTTGTTCATGTCACCAGTATCTATGGGTTTCTCCAGCCTGGTCTTGACCCTTTGCTCACTACTCCTCCCTGTCTGCAACTGGATTCCAAGAGGTTGGCTCAGTGTTTAGCTGTGGGTGTCTGCTACTGTTTCTATCAGCTACTAGATGAATGCTCTAGGATGATATTTAAGGTACTCATCAATCTCATTATTGGGGAAGGGCATTGAAAGGATCCTTTCCACTATTGCTTAGATTGTTAGTTGAAGTTATTCTTGCAGTGCTCTGGACATTTCCCTAGTGAGAGACAAAACCTATAATGGCTCCCTTTATTATGGTATCTCTTTTCTTGCCTTCCTCTATTCTTTCCCTGACTCAATCTTCTTCCTTCCTCATGCTGTCCTCCTCCCTAACCCCCACCCACCCACTCAATGCTCCCAATTTGCTAGGGAGATCATGTCCCTTTCTCCTTCTCCAGGGGATCATGTATGTCTCTGTTAGGGTCCTCCTTGCTTCCTGGATTTTCTGGTGCTGTGGATTGTTAGGCTGGTAAAACTTTGCTTTATGTCTAAAAGCCATTTATGAGAGAATACATCCCTTCTTTGTCATTTTATGACTGGGTAAGCTCATTCAGGGTGGTTTCTTTTAGTTCCATCAATTTGCCAGTGAATGTCAAGATTCTATTGCCCTCCCCCCTGCCTCCAACTGAGTAGTACTCCATTATGTAAATGTTCCACCTTTTCTCCATCTACTCTTCAGTTAAGGGGCATTTAGGTTGGTTCCAGATTCTGGTTGTTACAAATAATGTTGCTATGACCATAGTTGAGCAGATATCCTTGTTGCATGAATGTGCATCTGCATCTTTTGTGTATATGCCTAAGAGTGGAATTACTTTACTTGAGGTAGAAAATTTCATAAACATATAATGATTTTTTATAAAATTCACATTCTACTCTTCCCTTTAACTGCTTCTGGGTCCAATCCCTTCCATCCATCTTCATGTTGGTGTTCTTAACATAATCTTTCTCTTCTTCTACCTCTTATTCCTTTCTGCTCCTCCTTTTCTTCTGTTTCTTTACAACTCATTGATCTTATTTTTTGCTGGCAATATAATCAGCAATGTGTGCCATCTCATGCTGCATGGTTGACCTACGAGAAACCACGTATTTAAATAAGAAAAGAAAAACAAAACTTAGTATCTGTAGAATCCAGTTACTGTCTAAAACTTCTCAGCTATGGTTGGGGTCTAATTAGGTCCTCTACCATATGCACAAATACTTATTTTTAATCCTTTTAAGATTTAAGCAAGTAAACACATAACCCAGTTGCTGAGTCCATGAGTGTGGTCCTTTTTCTTTTTGGTTTTATTTTGTTATTTTTGAGGCAGGGTTTCTTTTTGTAGTTTTGGCTGTTTGGTCCTTGCTCTGTAGACAAGGCTGGCCTCAAGCTCACAGAGACCTCTGCCTCCTGAGTTCTGGGATCAAAGTGTGCACCACTGAGACCCAGCTTTGACCATAGTTTTCATTTTCCTTTGATTTGGACAACACTCTCATCCTTTCATCCAATATGGTACCATAATCTTGGGCAAGGAAGTTATCATATAGACGTCACTTATTTACTATCTGATCAATTGTGAGTTTCTAGCCTCCACTGCATAAAGAAATTTTACTAACGAGGTCTGAGAGCTGCTTGGATCCACAATTATAAATATAATAAAATGATATTATAGACCATTCAATACTATGTCAGTGTGATGAAATAACAGTAGTCAGTTCAGCCTTGGGAACTGTGAGCTCCCCAGCCATGAGTTATCTGTCAGATTTACAGTACTCTGCACTTCTTCCTATAGAGTGGGCAATAAATACAACCACAAAGTTATGGTTGTCCCCATATAATCCATGGAATTATTATGACCATGGACATATGTTTCTATCCCAATCATTATTGTACATTACACATTTTGGAGATGGGTGAATTTCTGGATAACTTTTCTCTTACAGCTAGCTGTGTAGCAACTTTTTTTTTTTTTTTTTAATTTTCTGTTAAAGCTATCCAGTACTGAGGAAGCTTCTTTGTAGTCAGTACTAACTTGACTTCTTCATTTCTTTTTACCTATATACATGGTGTCTTCAGCAGCTATAAGGATGTTTTAAAAAGCCAGATGGAAACCTACTATTTTATAACCCACCTGAATGTATGTATGTGGTTTAATTAGAATAACTCTGTGCAGGGAACAAAGTTCATCACAATGAAAATTGCAGATGTATGAATGAATACCTCCCTTGATTTGTTGAACAGAGGTGTGGCAAAGACATCTCAAAATACAAGGTATTGCTGTTGTGTTGGGTTGCCCATTGGAACAAAATGATGTCCATTAAAAGATGTCAACTTTTAAATTGTAACCAAAATGTGTTAAATTGAAGGTTATTCAGATTTTTTTTTTTAAATTTGCTATCTCTTGATATTCCCAAAACAAAATATTACATGTTTGACAATAATATGAAGATGTTTCAAATTGAATAGGTAAGAACAAGCTTTTTGTTAAAGAAAAGTATTTAAATATTGACCATTTATGGGACTGTGCAGGAAGAAATGTAAGGAAATAAAGTTGTAAGTAATAAAAAAAAAAGAAAAAAAATGTCTGGCATTACTGGCATTACTAATTTTCTTAATCTCCTTTTTCTTAAAAATGAAGGGGGAAGTATATGCAGAGCTGATGAGTTCCTGTGTAATAACTCCCTTTGCAAGCTCCATTTCTGGGTTTGTGATGGAGAAGATGACTGTGGAGACAACTCAGATGAAGCTCCTGACATATGTGGTATGGTCTCTCACGTGCTCTCATTGATCTTATGATCTAACACTCTTAAGGAACTAGGGAACATTTGAGTGGAACTATAGATGCCCTATCATTGGGGTTAGTAAGATATAGTATAATATTAGATACAGCTCCTGGCCAGGTAATAAAGAGATCACACTCTTAGAAATCAATGACTCTGGTCATTGACAGCTGGTATGTCATGCCAGCACTATCCAGAGCATAGAGTATGCACTATTTAGAAAGGTTTACATACAGTAGATAAACATTTGGATTGAGTAAAGTACATTTAAATATTTTTGGCTTCACATTAAATAGGTATTTTAAGATGAGGATATTTTCATAGTAAGTATAAATAATGTGGATATTAAAATGACTTAATGCCAGTTAAAAACATACTACGTAGACACTTCAGAAATCTATGCGTAGTATACATAAAACCATGTTAACCATTTAGCATTGAGACTTAAAAATGCAAAACAACAAGTAACAACAATAAAACTCTGAAACAACAAGCCCCCCAAACATACAAGTTACTCTTGACTAAAGTTTTATGGTTGTGTTCAATGAAAAATATGGAAACTTGAGATCATTAACATAAACAATTTCTTGCACTTTTAATAAACTTCTTTTTTATTATTATTTTGTATTATAACCTCAACAGGAAAGGTGACTCTACCTTTAATTCAAAGAGAAACACTTCTACCTCTGTTATGATTAAATTGTAAATGAAGCGATTGAAGGGAAATGTAGTATACCTGTGTGTACTTACATTTCATGTTGTCAAGACAAATAAAGTAATGAATTTTCGTAAATGATGACATGTATCCACTAGTTTCATATCATGGAATATACGAGGAGGCAAATCTAATTTTTAATTAAGATTGAAACAAATCATTTAGAAAATATTTTCTATGGATAAAACTGATATATGGTATGGAAAAGTTTACTCTGCATCATAATACCAAAAGAACAGTCTCTAGAACACCACACACACACACATGTATGTGTGTATCATAACATCAAAAATATGAGACTTTAATACCATTATTAACTAAAGACCTGTTAATGTTCAATAAACTATATTCTCCCTTTCCAATCATATTCCATTTTACCATAATACCAGTAATTGAAACTAGAAATAACTTGTTATTAAACTATACTGTAGAGCTACAGCCTCGTGGGCCATTTCTTGTGCTGGATAAAGTCTTCTTCAGGGAATTCAACAATGTACATCTGGAAAAATATTATAAAATATGAGTGTCTGATATTTAATACACTCCTGTTTCCCATCACTGTAAACATTAAATGGAGCTATTCAAGCCATACGAACTTTTACATTACTGGGGATTAAAACTTAGAAGAAAAAAAAGGAAGGTTTCTTTTATTAAGGAGACATTATATGTTCATTTAATAATTCACAATACAGTTTACATGTTATTTCATGACATGACAGAAATAAGTAAAAGGTATATGAATTAATTGTTTTTCTGTTTCTGTAATAAAATACTGTGATCAAAAGCTACTTAGAGTAGAATATTTATTTTATTACGAAGAATTTTAAAAATATGCAACAAAGAAATTTGTTCAATCTTGGAATGAGTGAAGTAACATTTTCCATCTCAGTATGAAGGGCACATAACAGTATTAGGAGCAAGAAAATAATAGTAGTTGCAAATAAAACAAATCAAACAAACAATTTTGGAGACTTAAATTACATGTAAAAGTCCCGAGGCAGAGCAAACCATAGTTTATTGGAGAAACTGGAACACACATGTGCCTCTACAGCTAAATTTAGGAGCTGGTAGAGAAGCCTAAGCAGTGGTAACACTCATGAACAATATTGTATCATGTTAGGTAATATTATAATGATAAATATATGTGATAGCAAATTATTGACACATTTGACAATGACTAAGTCAAAAAATTAACATCAAGTAAGATAAGGCTTATCATGGGTAGATTTAAACCTGAGATATGATGGGGTTGGAGCTCACAGAAATTTTGTTTCCACAAGTGAATGGAAGTAGAATGTAGAAAAACAACAGTTAAGACTGGAATTCAATTTGGAATTGAATAATCAGAGACATTCAACTGAGCTTGGATATTTGACTCAAAAATTTAAAGGAGTATTTTACATGTGTAAATTTCACAGTTGGAACAAATGTAACAATCATTTGGATATATTTGGATATTATACTGAATGAAATAAATCAGACAAAGAAGGAGAGTAGGGGAAAAGGTTGAATGAAAGTAAATATTGAAAAGATTGTTAGCTGTCAAAAGAATTAGTGGGAAAGTCACAAAAATATTATAAAAGAAAAGTGAAAAAGGATAGCAACTGACATAAGGTCTTTCAAAAAGAACAGTTTTTGAGATATTATAAAAATAAATTCCAGATAAATAGGAAAACTATTTTAAAAACAAGAATAAATAATGTCTAATCTTATTATTTTTCCCTTCTATTAAAAATGGATTCTTGCCAGGTGGTGGTGGTACATGCATTTAAGCCCAGCACTCAAAGGCAAAGGCAGGTGGAGCTCTGTAAGTTTGAGGTGAGCCTGGTCTCCAAAGTGTGTTCCAGGACAGCTAGGACTTATTCACAGTGAAATCCTATCTTAAAATGCACCCGCCCCCAAAAAAATATTCTTTTCTTATATAATATATCTAATTAAAATTTTTCCTCTTTATACCTCTTCCAGTTCCTTCCCACTTCCTCTCTCATCAGGATTGCCTCCCTTTCTGCCTTTCACTAAGAGATAACAACAACATAACAAATATATATATAAACATAAGACACAACAAAAGCCATCACCAACAAGCTGGAGAAACAACCATCTGAATGAAAAGACCCCAAGCAAAGTCACAATAATTAGAGATCCACTAGTCACACTCTTAGTTCAATAAAAATACTAAACTGAAAGGTATAATATATTCCCAGAGGACCTGGTACAGATATATGTTGGTACTATGCTTGTGGCTTCAGATTCTCAGAATTCATAAGAGCTTGGCTCAGTTGGTTTAGTTGGTTTAGAGGACCTTCTTCTCTTGGTGTCCCCCATCCACTGTGGCTCTTACTCTCTTTTCACTTCCTTTTCCTCATGTTCCCTGAGTTCTGAGGTAAGAGATATGATGGGGATATTCCGTCTAAAACTGTGTGACCAAAGCCCCCCTCCCCTGATTTCTAGCTTTTGGTCTTTGTCTTTGTTCCTGTGTGCTGAAGGAGAAAGTTTTTCTGATGATGGCAGAATAAGACACTATGTAAGCTCTATGAGCATAGCAGATTGTCATTAGGAGTCAGTATATTTTTGTTTTTTTAAAGAGACTAATAATTGATTTTACCATGCATCTTTGGCCTAGGTAGTTTCTATCATTAGTTACCCATGCAGTCTCAGGTCATTATGAACTTTAAGTTATTTGTTAGCTCCTGTGTAGAAACACGTAGTTTTGTAATCACTTAAACATTTTGTTCACATAAAAGCCACCAAATCATTTCCTTTCTTATATCACCCCATCCTTATTAACCCCCTACCTTCCCTATTCATCTCTTTCCCAGATCTGAGACATTTGTTTTAGTTTTAAGATCCATTTAGTTCAACCAGCACAATGTGTGATCACTTGATGGGGACTAACAATTGGAGCCTGGGGATGTTACCAATGGGTACATACATAACTGGAGGCATTGAATCCCCTTCTCCATTAAAATGACAGTAGCAAATAATTACGTGATGAAGGATAGAGCTAAATGAGCCAGTCCTCTAATCATTCCTATCTACTGACTGGCTTCTTTTTCTACAGACCCAGGAAAGGCATATGTCACTGCTGTGAGTTCACCTTTTGGAGGCAGCTTGGCAAATTGAAGAGTGCCCATTCCAGTTGTTTCAGTTTGCATGAGTTGCTTCCAGGCAATTCATCTGGACTCTATCACTTCTAGCTAATCTGTCTGTTTTCTGCTTTTTTAATGGAATCTGACTTGCCTGAAAATATTCAGCCATTGTGGAGAGTCTCTATCTCTTCCAGGTGGCTTGGTGACTTAAAGCCCTTTCTATGGATGTCAGGTTCTCAGAGAGCCTCTTTCAGCAGTCGTTACTGCTTGGATATGCTTGAAGGAAGGAGTCTATTGAATCTGGCCAATTTCAGGGATTTTCTGAAGCCATTAAGTTGTTTATTTCTTAATCTTAAAGCTCTTTCATGCAGAATAAAATACACCATTTAGCACAACTGGTGCATTAACATGCTTTCCTATGAGCTTCCTTGTCAGATGTAGCATTTTACCTCCTTTAGAAAACTGTGGGTTTTAATGTACTTCCATACAAAAAAAGAATGTGTTATCTTGGAAGAAATCACTACACAGCATTGCTCCTGTGCTGCAGGATTAAAAATTCCAATCAAAGAACTATTGGCTATAATCACAATAGTAGTACCATTAATTCACAAGTGGATACATGGTGCCTGGTAGTTCAGATTCATAGCTTGTAAAGATTTTAGAAATCTTTCCTCCCCTAGAAGACTGTGAAACCCCTCTTGGGCTATAGCATCTCTGGCAGTTTAGAGGCTTCAATCGTAGCTCCAGCTTGATTCTTTGTAAGAGGCAATAAAATTTTGTGATGGTCTCAGAGAGTAGAATTAGTCACCTAGTTGTGGTGGAGACCAGAAAAACTGGAAAGAACCTTTTTTGTTTGGGACACCTCTGGGGATGCCCTGACTACCTCAGGAAGATGTTTCCCACCACTGACCCTAGAAAATTTGTTAGTATTCTGTGGCTTCAAGGAATAATTTTTCTAATCTTGCATGATACCTGAGGATAGGCACCGTATTTGCTTTGAATATTGTAATGTCACAAAAGTGAAGATATAACAAAATACTGGAAAATGTTAGGAAACTAAATTATTTTCAAACATGGAACAACATGAAGCTTAAATAAAGTAAAAGATATTTGTATCATATTAGAAAAAAAAAAGTATGTCCTCCGGGAGAAAACAGGATTTCATTATATCAAGGACTTGTAAGAGAGTCACATGTGTCCATAAACAGACATGAAGTATATGAGTAGACTATTCTAAAAGATAAGACTTCAAGCTATAGGAGTGACATGGACAAGATAATAAAATACTAGGTCGTGCAAAATGTATTACATCATACGTGGAAGTAATAGATAACTCTGGAGGATATAAGAATAATGTGCTAAATTGATAGTTTTTCTGAGCCATGGGAAATGTATCTGAGAATATGTAAGATATAGCTTTACAGGAGATTATAAAAACAGTCATTTTATGGTAACAGGGATTAAAAAGAAAATGACAAGTTTGGGGACAGTATCCACAATGTGGCATAACAACATAATGTTATAATTTATTGATAGTCAGGAATTTAATAAAATTCCCATTTTCTTGCTATAATGTGCTAGTAAGAAAATCATGGTGATAACCTTAGCTAAAGTATGAACTTGACACTGTCACAGGACTAGTGGACTAGTGAATTTGTTGAATTTAAAATACTTTAAGTAAGTCATACTTTTTGCCAGTATTCAGATCACAGATCTAGATAAAAAAACTGTCAAAATTTATCATATACACACAGGTAAGTCAGTGAGCATAATTCAGAGCAAGAATTCAAGAAGTACTGATTCAGCACCAAGGGCAGAGCACCGCATAAGATAATATACAGAAGAAAAGGATAGATAAAATTTCCCAACTTTCATAATTTCACACTCAAATGAATAACAAATATCCCCTTATAAACTTTAAGTACAAATCTAAACAGGTAGTGTGTGTTATATAACCTAGGTTGAAGGTTGATACTTTATCCTGTCATATATCCAGTGAAGTCCAAACAGCATATCAGATCCTGAAGCTTTCTTCCTTCCTTACCCCATTTAGAATCTTTGATTGGGAACGCTCCTGTAATTAGTTGGAAAATATTTTTTTTCCAGAATCCAAGATTAACTATTTTCTATCTCAAGACAAAAGCCACATTACCTGTTTTAAAAGCAAAATACATTTCTAATAAGACAATGCACCTGAAACTGTTGCTTTGTTTTTTCCCCTCTGTTGTTGTTCTTTCAGTTAAATTTCTTTGCCCACCAACAAGGCCTCACAGATGCAGAAATGACAGAGTCTGTCTGCAACTTGAGAAAATGTGCAATGGGATTAATGACTGTGGGGACAACTCAGATGAAGATCACTGCAGCGGTAAATCTGTTGAAATTGAAATATTGATTTAGGAGCAAGTTTCCAGATAAGAGAATGAATTTAGTATTTAAAATTATAGCAAAGAATTTCTGGGTATATATGAAAGCTTTTTACCTGGCAGCAGAGTTTGAAATAGACAAGTGAAAGTAACCCCATAACATTTCATCTGCATAAAACAAAAAAAGGCTGCCTGGTTTAATCCAAAGCCTCCCACTAAGTCACTTTCTTCAAGAAAATATTAATACCATGAGAGAAACAACTTGGTATAAAAGAATTCCTTCTCAAAAACAGAATTGACAGTGAGAAATATTATATAAATTATGTGTAAATATAGCTTATCCTCAAAACTCTGAGATATAAAAATTCCTACTTCAGTGGTACATGTGCACCAAATGTGGCTCAGATACCATACTGCACTCAAGACTGTCTGAAGCAGCCCAAAAAACCTAATCATTGAAGAAGTCATGCCAAAAACTTACTAATGTAGATTACTAAAACGTATATCCTTATCAAAAGAGTTTAAATGGAGTCAACGTATAATATAATGGAAGTAGACAATACAATACCCAACTTGATATCAGATGCTACTAAATAAACTTCCAATAACAGGAATATGTTATGTATTTTTGAATTGTTGATCCATGGTATCCCATTGACCTCCCTCTCCACAACAAAATTATAGTATATTTTCATTGCTATGGGTTACACTCCACAACTTGATAGTGAGACAGTACTGCTGAAACTAATACATGTTTGAATTAGAAAACATGTAAAAATGTATCTGCTAACCAACTGGAATCTTCATTCCTATGGGATAGCTTTTGTAGAGGTAAACAGTACAATGACTACTATCAAAAGAAAAACTGATCATAAGCCAACATAGATATGAAACTTGAAGCTACAGTAATGGCCAGACTGGAAAAGTAAGACCATTGGAGTTACAGTAGCACAAAAGTTATGAAAATAACCTACCACTTTTTAAAGTTAGCCTAAAGGTTCAATTTACCATATAGTACTCATTACTAATACTCTCAATAATGTTAAGAATTTAAGGCTAAACAGGCCTTGGATGTGACGGTGAAACCTAATGCAATTATTGTGCTACATGTACATAGTAAAATAATAGCATACTGACCCACAGATCGGTACATTTCCCAATCCTCTCCAGAAATGTTTCTATGTCAGTGATTAGTGTAAAAACCCACATCAAATCAATGTGCAGAGAATAAGAGAGGATGAAATGGTCAACTCAAAGTTGGATATGTACATAATACTTTCCCTCTCAAGGCAGAAACCTATGTGGAAAAAAGAAAAAAAAATACTGTAAAATGCAGAGGTGCTGGGTGATTCCAAGGAAACAGTGTTTTCCAGACAATGGTACATATGTACATATCAACTTTCTAACCATGACAGCATGCATAAGTTCTACATGAGCTCAAACAAGAAAAAAATCACAGCACAGAGGGTTGCAGGAATTGGAAGTCCCTCTCCTAGCCAAGAGTCAATGCATAATTGATAGCAGCCAGAAGAGGAAAAGTTCATTTTCTTCAATGAAGTTATGGTGGGTATATCAACCACACCCCACAACAGGCTCCATGATAAAGAATAGTTTGCCAAAACAAAAAGAACATTTTGTTTTTGTTCTTTTTTGTTATTTATTTGTTCATTTAAATAATAGAAAGTGAGAATATGAAGTTGAACATGCATGTAGGTAGGAAAGCTCTGGGAGCAGTTGCGAAGGAGAGTGAATATGAAAATATACTATATGAAATTTTTAAACAATAAATAAAAATGTGTATACATTATTTTAAAAAAAATCTGCTTGAGATATTATTCATACATTTTCTCATAAAACTGAATGTTATTCAATATAGGCAATATGTTAATGTTTTTCCAAACTCCAAAACTCCCAAATCTATTTGATTTAAGCCCTGAAACTTAAACTTGAACATATAAAAGGTATGCATTTATAGCATTTAGTACATTCTTGAGCATATTGTGAACTCAATCACCATGTTCAGTTTTATGGTATGAAACACTCACTAACCCACTTTCTCAATGATTACACAGGTGAACTGTCATTCAAAGCCAAACCTTGTAAGAAGGATGAGTTTGCTTGCCATAACAAAATGTGCATCCCCATGGAACTGCAATGTGATGGGTTCGATGACTGTGGAGACGGTTCAGATGAACAAGGCTGCACAATGAGTATGCAATTTCTAATAAGGGAGTACAGAAGGCAGATGTTCTAACATGAAATTACTCTTGTTTGGGGACAACTCTTCAAAGAGTACTTGGCTGAAGTAACATTGTTTGAAACATCACTTAATTTTATGACTATGAGACAGAGCCTTTTGATTTTGCCACAAATATCTGAGATTATATTTTAATTAATTTGAAAATTTTTGAGTATCAGCAAGGATATACATACTAATGTAATTTTTAACATTTCAATATTTTTTAAAATTTGACCAGTTGATATATGTTAGACACCACATAATGTTTTCTATATAATAACACTCATCTGGTCTATATGTATTTAAAAATTCTTTCCTTAATGGAAGATAAGAAATGAAATTGAAACTACTGTGTTAAAATTATAGGTGTGCATTCTTCAAATAGCATTGTAACCCTATTTTCTATTCTGATGTTGCTTTTTATTAGTGTGTCCTGACTAATGCTGTAAATGTAGTCTTTTGGCTGGAGTAAAATGTTATCCCATGATGGATTAATTTGTGGAGTAGTAGTAACAATCTTGTGGTCATTTCTAGGAGGGGTCCTGCCCCTGGTAAAGGATGTAGGATAAGTAAATTGTTCTGATGAAGTCATTCTAGATAATCACTGACTAGTTATTCAGTTTTAGTATGGCTTAACAACAGCTGTCAATGTCCATGTCATCAGCTGTTTTCAGCTCTATTCAATAGGTTCTTTTACCTTTCTAAGAATAGAGGATGTGAATGCATAGAAAAGTAGCATCTTTGGTAGTAATTTTCCATGTAATAAACATTATTTCAAATTAAGAAATAAACTCCCAATTAAAAAAAACAGAGTTATATTAGTTTTGATTCTACTATTCTTAAATTCTAGGTCTCAGTGAACACACCTGTGAGGACAATGGGAATCCATGTGGAGATGATACATATTGTAATCAAATAAAAACATCTGTTTACTGTCGCTGCAAACCTGGATTTCAGAGAAACATGAAAGGCAGGCAGTGTGAAGGTAGAGTAAATTTCCTCAACAGCTTGCACTCAAATCCTTGGCTTATATATATTCCTAAGGCTGCTAAATGGTAATGTGACAAGGGACAGATTTTCACGAAAGGTCTTTATATCCATGGGCTACCATTTCATTTACAAGAGAGAGAAGGGGAGAATACCTGGGATGATGAGCCTGTTTGTTTTCACAGCTATTCTAACCATTCCAGAGACTACAAAGCTTCTTGGAACAAATTCATGCCAGCAGGAATTTCAATTGTGTCACAGCCATTCTGTTTTGAAATGCAAATTATGAGTTTATTGGTTAAGAACTATCAGAGTATTAGACTCATTTCATGAAAGAATATGTTTGAGAAGATTAATTTCTCTTGACAGTGGCATTTGCCATGCTGTGACAGATAATTTACTTTGAGAAACTTGTAAGCTTTTATCCTAGCAACATGTTTTTAACAATCTGCTATAATATGATTTTAAAAATTCTAAGTCAATATCTAAATGAATTTCTTTTCAACTATCTTGTGATCTTGTAAAAATTACACATTAGTAGAGAGGGAATAATGAGTAAGTTATATATGAATGTAATTTACATATCTAGGATTGTGCTAAAGAGCCATGAAGTACATAACCATGTGTATAGTTTTTTTTTTTTTTTTGCAATTTTCTTTGATAAAAAAACATTTTTATAACCTGTTTACCTGTTTTTGTAATTTGAGATAATCTCAGATATCTGTCTGGAATATTAATGTTAAATAAGATTCATCTGTTACTTTTAAAAATAATTTTGTTACATGTATGTATATGAGTTTTTGTTTACACATGGATGCTAGAGATTGACATCATTCCTCTGTGTCTCTCCACCTTGTTTGTGTGAGATGAAAATTCTTATTGAATTTGAACTTCAGTGATTGATTAGTTTGGTTAGCCAGCAAGCCTTGGGAATCCTCTTCTCTGTGGTGATCTCCTTCCCCAAGTGCTGGGATTATATGTGTGTTCTATGTTGCCTAGCTTATAAACTCAGGTCCTCATTTATGTCCATCAAGCACTGTATCCAACAAGCCATCACTCCAGGCCCAAAAACAATATAAAATAATTTTTCTTATTACTCTTATCTCTTTAATTTCCTGGTTTAAAAATAACTTTACAGTTTATCAGGCAATATGAAAAAAAATAATTCATTATACTCACAAAAAAAGATGAAAGTTCTGTTTCTATACACTTCAAGTAGTCAGCTCATGTGACCTCTTTTCTTATTGCCATGTGACACTATAAACTTGGTAAACTAAGTTTTCTCTATTTTAATTAAAATAATTTTTTTCTTTTCTTTATTGTGTCTATCAGTTATATGTAAATATGTACACACATAGAGAGAGACTGACTCTTTGGACTTTTGTTCTGACAATATTGATTACCTAGAGAGTCTGAATAGTAGGCTCTGTTTCCAGGGTAAAATATGTTTACTAACTTTAGAAACACTGTTCTTAATATTTTCTCATTTTAGTCTATTGCAAGGGAAATAAAACTACAACTATATATTTCATTTCAAGTAGCCATGTAATCATTATTTGTGTATAATTCTGTTATAGATGTAAGTCAATTCTGAATCTTAGTTAAATTTGTGTCTATAATAAATGCATTTTTATGGCAAGGAAAACAATTTCCATTTGATATTGAGGAGGAAAAGGCATTACCTAGGTTTTTTTATTTAGTTTGTTAGGTTCCTTCACTAGCTTGTACAAAAGATTATAGTAAATGTCTGTTTTGTATTAAATTTACTACACTTAGTTGAAATATCCAAACTAATGAAAGAAACAGAAAGTCCATAACAGATGCTGTGCAGTTATGATGCATGGAATCAGAATGCCACATTAAAAAATGAGGGTCTTCAAGTTATCCAAGATGGGTAAATGGGGAGGGAGTTAAGATCCTATTGAACTGCATACCAAAGATAAGCAGTACAAATAGCTGACACCCAAAACAGACCAGACAAATCTGTTATAATTTCGATGATTAGGTGTTGACATAATACAATTTACTTCATTCATGAATAATTTTCCCTGAAGAAAAGTAAATGCTCATTTTCTGTTTATGTAACCACCCAAACACAGAAATTTCTTGATATCATTCCTCAAGTGTCCTTGGAGAAGTGTCATAGAACAGGCAACAGAATGCACAAAGTTGAGTGCACACTATCACTTGTCATCTGTGGGTATCACTGGGAATGGCTATATCCAGCCTTCAACTTTGGAGAGTGCTAAACAAGAGACAGTTACCTACCATGATAAACCTAATTTGAGACAAGAATTTATCTTAAATTCTTATTACATAATCAGGGCAAATATATAAGATGTAGGAAGCAGAGGGAAATATGTGAAAGTGGAGGAGGAAAACAAATGGTCATTATTCTACCTGACCTTGTGATTTTGTTCTCAGCTCTACTTATGCCCTTAATTAAGAAGTATGATTCAAATCACAACATCACTTTTTTTTTTTAATGTATCCATGACTTAGTTCTGTATATTTGCAGATGGGTGTTCAAAGTTTCTGTTTAGCTCTCATAATTGTCCTTATCTCACAATAGTGAAGATGGATTGTGAGCTCTTTTCTTGTAGATCTCAATGAATGTCTGGTGTTTGGTGTATGCTCTCACCACTGTGTAAATACACATGGATCATATAAATGTGTTTGTGACCAGAACTTTCAAGAAAAAAACAACAGCTGTATAGCAAAAGGTAAGGTAAATAAAAAGATATCTCAATTTGGTCATAAATATTTTATGAGGAAAAGTTTGCATATTGCATTTTAGTAAAAGATTCATAGTAATATGGTATATCTATATATTAATGACAATCAGTGTGACATATTTTTTTATTTTGAAGTATGCAATGTACTTCCATTTAATTAAAAATATCATTTGTTTTGGAAACTCTCAAATTCACCTTTGTGAGCTCTGTATAATATATGCAGATATTGATCCCTACCTTATGTTCTTAAATAGCCTAAATCAAAATGGTTTACAGAGAAGATTTTTAAATATAGAGGAAAAGGTGTTAAAATTACTTTGTGTTGGAAGTCTTTGTCAGTAGAATAAAATGTTCAAATACAAATCTGATAGCTAAATTAAGTGTTTTCATTGATGGGTGTGATTAAGTGAATGTAAGAAATTACTGTACCACTGTGTAAAAATGAAAATAAAAGAATTAGAACTATTACTTAAATTTGTATCCTATCATTTCAACTTCCCACAGTACATGACCTGGAAGAAGTTGAGGAAGTTGTTCAGATCTTTTAGTCTCAGCTCCTCATTTATAAAATCAGAGTAATCATATTTTTATCTATAATTTCTGTAAGAAATTAAGAAAGAATTGACATAATACCCAAAATATAGTAAGCACTGAGAAATATATAGACTACTAATGAGTTGTATATTATCAAATTGAGTGATGCAAAATGTGGATGAAAGTGACATAATTCAGCACAGCATTTGTACATAAATGTGATAGATTTCAACATGTATTATTATTGTCATCATGGTTATTTGCAGGCACTGTATATTCAACTCAATGTCTTTTGATTTTAATTTAATATGTTCATATAGTTTTACCTTTCAATCAGTATGAAAATATTATTAGTATTTTACAGATGTCAGAATTTAGGATATACTGTCCATTTGATTGCAAAAAATAGGAAATTATAAAATGTTAACAAAACAAACAGTGAAACTTGTTAAAGTGATAATAAACAGAGCACAAGCTAGCTTAGTGATGGAGTTTGTACAAAGGTTTGGATTGACTTAGCAACCCTGAACAAAAATTTAAAAAGGCTTCCATAGTTCAAGTTATAAAAAGTTACATGCACACATGAAAAAAATACCTTTTCCTGTCTTAATTTTCTTTTTAGCTAGAAGTAGCAATTATTCAGGTACATCCCCCTAAATAAACATCCAGAGTATGCTTTAAGTTAAATTAGTACATAAAATAGCATCTGAACACCAAGAATCAAAACATTAGAACACAGCATGGATGTAATTTGCCAGAGACATCCTTTTTGAAAGCCTAATTTATGCATATACATTAGCTTTGTACTTGGAAAAACTGTTACTTTAACACAGGGTTAACCAGAACCCAAATGTCATGAAGAGCAAATAATGATATAAAACTAGCTAATTTTCACTTTGGAAGAGACTGTATAGAGAATAACAATTCAGGATAATTTAAAGTACATCATTCATTTTTCTGGTTAAAATTTCCTCTATTTTGTATTTTATTATAATAATCTGCAGGCTCTGAAGATCAAGCTATCTACATAGCTAATGACACTGACATCCTGGGTTTTGTATATCCATTCAACTACAGTGGCGGTCATCAGCAGATTTCTCATGTTGAACATAATTCAAGAATAACAGGGATGGATGTGTATTATCAAAGAAATGTGATTGTCTGGAGTACTCAGTTTAATCCAGGCGGGATTTTCTACAAAATGATCGATGACAGAGAAAAGAGGCAAGCAAACAGTGGTTTGATTGTAAGTAAATATTGAATACATGAAGGTCATGTTTTCTTTCTACATCCCTGCTTAAAAAAAAAAAAAAACTAATCTAAAGTACCCAAAGTATTAAAATAATCTTATTTCATCCAACATAGAAACACTACTCTTTATTTTAATAGGAACACGCTTACTGTAAATTCCACTTTCTGTTGTGTTTGAATTAATTTACCTTTGCTACTAAAGAATGAAAATAAATATCAGCAACAGCATTAAACATTTTAATCTTTATATATAAAATTCATATATATTGTGAACAGAAGCATTTTTCAACTTAATATGGGAATGGGAAAATAAATTGTACTTTTTGCATTAGAAAGTAATGTTACTGAGAAAATCATTTCTCCTTTAAAACTATGAGAAATCTACTTATGGGGAAGAAACTAGTAAGAGTGTCACTATTCCTTCCTTTTTGAGGAAGCACTTTTTGGAGAACATGTATAACAGAACAACATTGATGGCTGATATATGATTGGCATCCTGAATATCATGATTGTTTTTATGAGAAAAATAAAAAGCACAGAAGTTGTTTAGATTTATTGTCCTCAACAATCTCTATTTGTGTTAGAGCTTATCAAATTATTGAGTGTTATGTAGTATAAAGTAACCAAGAAGGAAAGTGGCTATGAAGGGACTTGGCTATTTTCCATATGACCCAAAAGTCAAGTAGTAACTTGGCAAGATCTAATCAAATTTGGCCACTTGAAATGACAATGGTGTCTATTTGGATTCCTCACTATTGTCTACAACAGAATCTATTGTAAAGATATCAGCCATAAATGTGTTTTGAGTCAATGTCGAGAATGTTCTAATTATATGCTGCAATAAATATTTTTGCGATATGAATGCCATTTGATCAGTGCAGAACACATTTTAATTGTGTTTTTAATATTTTTTAATATTTTCATTTAAATGAATTCATTTTGTGTAGGAATGGGAGGGGGTATGTGCTCATGAGTTCAGGTGCCTTTGGAAGCCAGAAACTCAGTGGAGCTGGAGTAACTGGTAGTCATGAGCCATCTGACATGTGTGTTCTGGTGAGACCTTGGTCCTCTGCAGAAACAGTTCATATTATTAATTTCAAAGCTATCTCTTCAGTCACAATTTTAAAATTAAAAAAATTAACAAATTAATTAGGGTTAGATTAAATAAATGGTTATTAAATTCCCAGTGTAACTGTGTTGTTTTTCAGATCTTCCTGCCATAAGCAGTGTTGTATAAGTTTCATGACTACTGAGAACTGTTCTAAGACAGAGAGGAGTCATTTAGCAGATCATTAAGTACATCATCCTGCAGAACTGTCTATTCTCTCTATTAGGACCACAAGATGGCAGATAGTCATTGTGTGTGCAAACTTCAGCTTTAAAAATGAAACCTGTTTTCATTTCATTCATAAATGAAGTTTGCTTGTGACCTCATTTGCTTTTTGTTGTTGCCATGAATATCATTGATTAGCATGGGTTTTAAATCTGTTTCTGTTCTTGATCAGTTCTTTAGTTTCTATGTTTTAATAATTTTAGGCATTGGACTAAAAACTACTTAATTACATATTATATAATTATTATGGATTTTTCACATGAAATATGTTAAATTGTAATATTAACCAGCACTTTGTATATACGATATGACTGCTTACAGTGACTATGTTGATGTAATGGAATGACAAGCTGCTGTATGCTTCATGTACATAAAATTATTTGAGCTCTCATATCTGATCTGATGTTTATTAAAATATCACTTACATGTTTAATTTTGGTATGACTTTTCAATGCAAATTATTTAATTTTGCTCTTAGGATGATATGTATTATGTGTTCTTTAATAAGCCAATATTTAAAAATTAGATGTCAAATCATTGATATTTGATAACTAATTTTTTACTTTTATACAGGCAAATGTATATACATGTACATTTTTATTTGCATTTATATATTTTTTAACTTTTGCTTAACCATAACAATTGCTGATAGTTCATGATAAGACTTTTCATTAGGCTTGTCTGAAACAGCATATGAAACTTTTTTAATGACTGTGATGACTTTATTACAAACTCTAGACTATTTTCCTCAGTCCATTCAGAGCAATCATGATTACTGTACGATAGCACTTTCTACTGAGGAGTACCATGTGTTGATCATTGACAGCACAGACTGATGAGCCATGGGTATTACCAGATGTCTCCACATGAATTTCTCAGGAATGTCAGCAACTATAATAACTTAAAGAGTGAAGGCTACCCTAATGAGGGCAACTGCATTGTTCTCTTCTTATTGTTTGTAATGCCAGTGTTTTAATGTATAAAAAGGGAACTATGTACTCTGACCACTGGGATTTAAGGTAAATTCCAGTGATACTAACATCTCTGACTCTAAACTACAAATCTGAAAAATAATTGCAACATTTATGAAGACAAATTCTAAAGCCCTTTCCAGGTAATAAGCATATGTGATTTCAAAAAGACATTCAATGGAGTATGCATCTGTCAGGTTTTACCCAAGCCTGTTATTTCTCTGAAATCCATCTTTTGAATATGTATAAAAAATTTTACTCTGCCAGGTAAAGGTATGTCTTTCTAAAAGTTACCAGCTGATTACAATTAGTTCAGAGAGGATACAATCTATTTTGTCTTATAAATTTTGATGCCTATATTGAATAATACTAACTGAGGCTGCTTTAGTCCTTAGAGAGCATAGCTCAAAAGATTTCCCCAAGGATGATTTATATCACATTTATTTTGTTATCTAATTCTACAGAAAAAGAAGAGAAAAATTTCAAAGCCAAATGATAGATAGGTTGTCTTTTTCCCTGTCAATTTCTCTTTTTTTTCTTATTTTTTCCCTTTATTTTAGTTTTTCTTATTTCACATATCTATCCCAGTTCCCTCTCCCTCCCATTTCCCCTGGACCCCCTCATATCCCATTTTATTAAAAAGTTTACATGTAATATAACTTATTGTATTCTGTCCCCAGACTCCTCCCAATTCTCCCCTCTCCCTTCCTACCCAACTCCATGTTTTTCTCCTACTTTTTCTCTAAAAACAATTGAACAAACAAAGAAAAATCAGGAAAAATAACAAAACAATAAAAATTAAAAGCATATAAACTAAAAAAAGCAAAACAATATGATAAATACACTAAAACAAAAGAAAAAGTACAAAAAACTCAATGGAGTTCATTTTATGTTGGGCAATTCCTCCTACAAATGGTGGACACTCCATTGGAGAAAACAGATTTTCTCTTTCCCAGTTACTAACATTGTATGTACTTACTCATAAATGAATATTACATTTAAAGTAAATGATTACTAGCCCTACAATCTACACCTCAAGAGAAGGTAGGGAGTAAGGAGGACTCTAAGGGAGACATACATGATCCCCCAGAGAAAGGGAAAGAAAGAGACAAGATTTCCTGAGCAAATTGGGAGCATGGGGAGAACGAAGAGGGAGTTAAAAGGAAGAGAAGCAGAGAAGAGTGGAGAACATGAAAGAGCAGGAAGATTGATTGGGGGAAAGCTACTGGAGAGCAAGAAAAGTAGTACTTTAATTGAGGGAGCTATTACAGGTTTTATGAGAAATCTGGCACTAGGGAACTGTCCAGAGATCTACAAGGATGACTCCAACTAACAATCTATGCAATAGTGGAGAGGCTACCTTTAATGCCCTTCCTCTATAATGAGATTGATGACTACCATATATGCCAGCCTAGAGACTTCATATAATAGCTGATGGAAGCAGAAGCAGACACCACAGCTAAACACTGTGCTGAACTCCTGGAGTCCAGTTGTAGAGAGGGAGGCATGATGAGCAAAGGGGTCAAGACCACGCTGGATAAACCCACAGAATCAGTTGACCTGAACAACTGGGAGTTCATGGACCCCAGTCTGATAGCTGGGAAACCAATATAGGACCAACTCAGACCCCATAAACGTGGGTGTCAATTAATAGGACTGGGCAGTCTATGGGGCCTCTGGTAGTGGATCAGTATTTATTCCAAGTGTATAAATGGACTTTGTGAGCCTGTTCCACATAGAGGGATAGATACAGAGGGGAGGTCTTAAGCCTTCCTCCATATGATATGACAGATGTTGAAGACACCACATGTAAGTCCTCACCCTCCCTGGGGAGCAGATAAGAGATGAGACAGGGGACCAATAGGGGACAGGGGAGGCAGGGAGGGAGAGGGAACTGGGGTTGACTTGTAAAACAAAATTGTTATATAAAAATAAATAAATAAGTAAATAAATAAAGTGACCTGTGGAGAAAAGAAAGAAAGAAAGAAGAAAGAAAGAAAGAAAGAAAGAAAGAAAGAAAGAACGAAAGAAAGAAAAAATCTTTCTAAGGCCATACCACCCTGAACGCGTCCAATCTCATCTGATCTCAGAAGCTAAACAGGGTCAGGCCTGGTTAGCACTTGGATAGGAGACTAAGTATCACTTAGAAATAGTTTTTTTTGTTAGGCTTGGGACCTTGTGGTTTGAATCTATACAGGCCTATTTTTGTGTGTGCTACTCCAGGCTATATTTTCATACTTTTATCAGTCCTGTTTTGTCTATGAGACATTGTTTCCTTGGAATCATCTACCAACTCTGGCTTTTGAAATCTTTTTGCTCCTCTTCTTCAAAAATCTTGAAGTCTTGATAAAAATGGTTTGATACAAACATCCCATTAAGAGTTGTTTAGTACTCTAAGGTTTCTGTACATTTTCTAGTTTTGAAACTACTTGTTAATTACCAACTACTGCAAGAAAAACTTCTCTGATAAATGTTGAGTGTTTCTATATTCCGATCATTGTCTTGCTATGTTCCAATAGCAGAATAATTGTAGGTTTTCAGATAGGCCCATGGCATACTTAGTCCCAGGATAGTGTCGCCTTTTGCCATGTCAAGTATTGGTTCCACCACATGTCCTTAAAATCCAATCAAGCAGTAGTTGATTTCTTCCATATCATTTATGCCATGATTGCACTACTATATCTTGAAAGC